ATTTTGGTAGGTAAAATCAATCATACACCCAAAACTAGTAAGACATTTTCATTCACAGTTACAGGAATATTAATGAATGACATCCAACCTACATTTATAGTTATATATTTATATAGATGTCGTCTAAAATGGCATCTTCAGCAAAAAAAAAAAAAAAAAAAGATGAGAAAACTTCATGGTATAGTAGTTTATTGAAAAACCCCAAAACCAAATCTGATAAAATTTCTGATAATGTGTTAAAAGTTTTATATAACATAAACAATACTTGATCGACACAAAGTAAAGTTATAAAGGTTCTTTATTCATCAAAGAATATCTAAGATCTAAATCCCCTTCTGTAAAAACATGCTTGAGATTAAGGAAGATTTAATTGTGTCTCCACAATTTTAAACAAATTTGAACACTAAACCTCTAAACAGAAAAACAACTAGTAACATAAAATCACAAATGTAAGAATGATAACCAACATAATTCTAACACAGACCAATCCAGACAAAAGTAGTCGATGTGTTCTTGACTTTCTCCTGGATCCATCTATGGTCAGCCATGTTGGTGATGGTGACCAGGTCATGGTGGTGACCTCTGCAGTCGGTCAAGGCGTCCTCCCAGGTTTTATTTTCTTTGATCAGGATCAGGATCTACCTGACTTTGCTGCCATCTGCTGGCCAAACCTTACTTCTGTCATTTCTCTAATATCAAATGAGTCAAATATTTTAAATTTTAACTGCTGCTGGAAGACTGTCATACATTTAATCCAGGTTGTTATAGTTAAACCTAAACAGATGTAGGTTTAAGGAATATTTAAAGTGTATTAACATGTTTTTTTTTCTACACACTGGAAGTAATATAAACATCTTGGATGTCACCCAGTCAAAGTTCCAACTTTAATAGGAGACTTAAAAATAACCAAAGATAAATCATTAATATACTAGTAAAAACATCAGCAATTATTAGAAAGTTTAGATTGATGTATTTAAAATAAAGATCGCTCCATTGATTTCTGGGAAGCATGTCAATAATTTATGAAAGGCATTTAAAAAAAATACTGTTTCAAAATCAAACTTTATTGGTAGTGCACTTTCACACAGTCAGATGTAATACAAAATGCTTTAGACAGATCTTAAAAAGAAAAATAGGCGTGTAACTGCTATACACACAATACAATGATTAAAGTAGAGTTTTTGGGAAAACAAGTCATTATCTATGACATAAGAATTAGGAATTAAATGTAAGAGAAATCAATCAATGAAGATGAGGAACTGTGAGAACACAATGAAGTAGACTAGCAAGTAAACACAAGATATTTATGGAGTATAAAAAGGATTTATGTAGGATTGGCGCAACTTTGCTGGAGTGCTTTGCTCAGGGGAACATCAGCAAGTAGCAAGATGAACCTGGAATCGAACCCACAACTTCTGATTATAAGATGACTTGCTGGAAACAGCAACATGCCAAAACCACCCAACAGAACTCGTCCAGATCAATGGTAGCTTGAAAAGCACTGAAATATTAAAGTATAACTTCATAACATAAAAGTTGATAACATTGGTGTAAATCACATAACAGTATAAGAGATAATATATAACACAGTGGCATGTCGCATAACCACTAGAAAACCAAACACCACGTCAAGCTTTCTCTAAATAGATCAGCACCATTGAGAAAAAGATAGTCATTTCTCAATCGGGAAGTAAGATTAATTAAACCAACATCTAATATGAATCACACACCTAAGAAAAAAATAAAAACAAAAGAAAAGAGTAGATTTTACTTTTTAGAACAGATGAAATTCAGCATCTCATCATCATTTCTTTTGAACCACTGATGTTTTCCTCTCGTCTCCATGGCTCCAGACATGTCACAGTCGTCCATCTGTCCATCTAAAGCCCAGTTCTTATATCTGACCACATCATCACTGACCCAGAACCACAAATCCAGAGTGCAGGTGTAGCGCAGACCCATCCAGACATAATCAGTCGATGCCTCCTTGACTTTCTCCTGGATCCATCTCTGATCATCCATGTTGGTGATGGTGACCAGGTCATGGTGGTGATCTCTGCAGTAGGTCAAGGCGTCCTCCCAGGTTTTATTTTCTTTGATCAGGATCACGTTATCTAAACAAAGAAGCCATGAATATGAACAAGTCTTCACAGCAAACCCAAAATGATGACACATACATCAAATGTTACAACCACGCAGATGTGACACCTATTTCAATTGATTTTCAAATCAAGTCATCTCCTCGGTGTTTTTTACCGTCGTAACAGATGAAGTGTTTCTTGGCCATACAGTTCTCATTCCTCCATCTGCCTTTATCATTAAACTTAAACATGGCACATTGTCCACTGTTGGGTTGTTGATTGTTGAAGCCTTTGTGCCAGTATCTGAAAGAGAAGCTGCTTCCATCGGACCACTTCCAGGCGTCTCTGAACAGACCGAAATGTACGTGTGTTTTGTTTCCCACAGAGTTCAAAACATTCGCCGATCTTGCATCCTGTAGCTGCTTCGATCCACTGATCATGTCTGTGTGATTCTCTCTGCAGTAAATCTGAGCTTTCTGCCAGGTCTTCTTGTCTTCAATCAAGTGGTATTTCTGGTTTCTATCAGTTTCTGTGGAGAAAAAAAACACATTTTAGGCTGAGAATATTTGAGGGAAGTTGATAACTTTGTCATACTTGCGATCAGAACTGCGTAAACAAATCGGTACCACTTTACAATAAAAAGTTCCCCTTACAGATGGATAATAAAAAATATATATAGATATGTTATCAATTCATCTGCAAGAACTTTATAAATCATTTACTAGGCATTGAGAGTGAGAAGGAGACTGTATGCTAAACAATTCCGTCTATGAATCCTTGTGTTTACAAGGCAGTCTGAAAAGTTTAGTGTAACAATTGTAAGGATCTATAGATGAACAGAATTGGTTCACTATTTGGCAAGAAACAGGTAAATTTTGTCTCCTTTTCACCCTGAATTAATGTATAATAAACAGCTATTGATGATTTATAAACGGCTTAGAGAAGAATAAACATCTATGAACTAATTATCAGTCATCTATAAGGAGAGTGGTACCGCTGATACATCTCTCATGCAGATGGTTTTATTCAATTACTTAGTTTATTTTCTGGGTTTTCTTATTACTCACCATCATAGCAGAGGAAAAATTCCACGTGATGACAAGATTCATCTGCCCATGTAAAACTTTTAAACAGAAATCCACAGTTCCCAGATATTTCATTCCTATGTTTGTCAGTCGGTTCTCCTGACATCCAGTTTGTGTCACTTACATCGAACTCCACCCCAGGCAGAGACCAGTACCATGTTCTGGTACCATGTGTTTGATAATGCAGACCAATCCAAGCTCGGTTTTTACTACCAGCTGAGATGCTGATGAGTCTCTTCATGTCCTTCATGTTAGTCACTGTGACCAGGTCAGTGTGTTTCTCTCTGCAGTACTGCTGAGCTTCAGTCCAGGTCTTATTTTCATTAATGTAGAGAAACTGGTAGAGCTGACAGTCCATGAAGCAACACTGAGCTGAAACATGAAACATGCTGGTATTAATTTAGGGTGATTTCAGCAACACACAACATAGGATAAATGTTTCAGTGAAACAAGATGATTTAAGCTCCTGTGACAAAAAAAATCTACTACAAATCTATTTGTGTTTCTGATCAACTTACCCATCAGGAAGAGCAGAATCAGACTCCACTGCATCTTTGCTGTCAGATGAATTATTTTCCTCCAGCAGTTTGTCTCTGCTGGATGAAGAACATTTAAACACTTCATATCAAGGTTTGACAAGCTGCAACAATGCGGAGAGAACAGAAAAGTCGAAGTCAGACAGGAAACAGAATATTTAAATATCAAGCACAGAAAGAAAGTTAAAACATGGACCTGGTTACCTTCCGTGTCTCGTCAAACCTCTGCCTGACGTTCTGATCGACGTTCCCGGGTTAAATGTCGACTTCTGATGAACAGCGATCACATAAGAGCGAGTCTGTCAGCATTTGAATGTTCAAACGGGAGGATGGGTCTGTTCTTTACAAAGACGATAATTCATGTTACATGTTATACAATAAATGACAGAAAATAAGGAGGGTGAGCTGAAGCAACTTATGTAAGGAAAAACAGATTGGATTTTTTTAGCATCAGATTAAAAAAAATAAGAATAAGAGATAATACTTTACATACTTTACAGAAAACGGCTTTTACCTCAGTTAGATATTTGCTTAAAATATAACTGTTTACCTCATTATCACCTGTTTTAAGTAAATACTGATATATTTACCCTGCTGCCTAATTTGGCTGAGCTGAACTCACTGTGCTGTTATCTGAGCTAAATTCTGACCTTTGACCTGAGGATGTTTAAAGGATGTTTTTATTAACTCAACACCTCTTTAAAATATTTTTGAATTATTTGACATTCTTACACAAAGAAGTCAAATATGATTCTTCATAAATTCTCTTCAGCCTCCTCATCATCTTCAGTGCAAAAGCTGAATATCCTGCTTTTATTTTGAAAGCCGGGGGTCTGAGTTTGAACATGACCACAGCATTTTTTTCCAATTGGAGTCTCTGTCATTTGTCAGCTTTTTCTAAGAAACACTCAGGATCTCTATATGCAACATTTCAAAAGTGATTTTCCATGAATTATTCTACATATTGTATATTTCTTACAAGTAAACGATTCAGAAATCTCATGATCACATGGTCCCGTCTCTGTTGCCAGGCCTGATCTTGAGGTTTGTGTGTATTAAAACTGGTGCAGACGGGATTGCACACGCAAACCTATTCTATCATCTGGGACTGCATCTGCAAAAAGGGAAGTACAGCAGGCCTTTTGTGTGTCTGCCTTCGTGACAGTGCAAAACACTGTCACGAAGTGCAAAATACTTACCAATGTGACTCATTATTGCATGGGAAATGTCAACTTCTTCCTGGTCCTCGCTTTTTATTTTGCATTTTTACAGCGCTCTTCTTGTTAGGTTTAGAAGAAGTTTGGTGTGAATTAAGTTTTGGTTAAGGTTATGGATAGGAACAGACTAGCAATGGTTGGTGTGAGTGAAAATGTCTGCATTAGGTATGAATGTAGTTCCTAAAATGAATGGAAGTCATTACAAAGTCCTGAGTTTTTATAGAAGTCCAAGGATGTGTCTGTGTGTGTGTGTGTGTGTGTGTGTGTGCGTGTGTGTCTCTTTGGTGTTAGAGGTGGTTTAGTTCTTCAGACAATAATCCTGTAGAGACGGACCGACTAGAAGAAGTACAGCTCACCAGAAATGTAAGTTATGGGTTTAATAATAGGATACAAATCTACAAATATCTCACAATCTTAAGTGGGACAGATGGATCCAGTGAATTTGGAAATTTCATAATGAAATTGAATGAAAGGTTTTCTTAACAGTATTAGTGTAAGGGTGTGGACACGTATGCAGCAAATTCTTGGGCTTTTCTATCACATTCCCATCTTTCTGTTAAATTGTACAAAATAAAATCTCTCAACATGTGGAAAAGTTTTCAAATGCTTTATTAAGATCTTATTGTTTTAAATCACAACAAAATTTTGTCAAGGGTGAGCAGATGTTAAAGTTTTAGATAGAAAATATAACATTTCAATAATAATAATAAAAAAACATTTCAAGATAAAATTATTTTCAGTCCTAAGCAAATATCTAATCTAATATAATCTAATATTCTTTTGAAGAGATCATTTCTTGGCGGAATTCAAATATGGCTTTTTGAATTTAATTAAAGCCACAATTGAAAAGCAGCACAAAGTGAAAAAAACTGATAATAAAAGGAAGAGGAAGAATTATTAATTAGTACAGATGAAGTTAAATCTCTCACTGCCGTTTCTTTGGAACCACCGATGCTCTCCTCCTGCCTCCATGGCTCCAAACATGTTACAGTCATCCTTCTGTTCATTCCAGGTCCAGTTATCACAGACCCAGAACCAAACATTCCTACTGCAGTTGAAACGCAGTCCAATCCAGACAAAAGGAGTCGATGCGTTCTTGACTTTCTCCTGAACCTGTTTCTCTTTGTCCATGTTGGTGATGGTGACCAGGTCATGATGGTGACCTCTGCAGTAGTACAAGGCTTCCTCCCAGGTTTTATTTTCTTTGATCAGGATCATTTTATCTGGCATGAAAATACATAAAATATAAGAAATAAAACAATGCTATTTCTTTATAAGTCTCCAATCAGAGCTGATGCAACAAAAAATGACTCTTATGAGTTAAACCACACGGACCTGATAGTAAAGTTTACACTTGAAAGACATTTAACTAAGACATTTA